TCTTCTTCAAGCACCCCATTAAGAAATGCAGACTTTACATCCATTTGATGTATCTTCCACCTGTTTTGGGCTGCTAAAGAGATGATCAATCTTACAGTCTCAAGACGAGCTACAGGTGCAAATACCTCGTCGTAGTCGATCCCTTCTCTTTGACTGTAACCTTTTGCCACCAGCCTTGCTTTGTATCTTTCGATCTCCCCTTTGGCATTCTTCTTTGCTTTGTATACCCATTTTACTCCGATCGTTTTGTGGCCTTTTGGAAGTGAGGTCAAATCCCATGTATCATTCTTCTCAATGGCCCTGATCTCTTCATCCATGGCATTTCTCCACCTTTCATCTTGTACAGCTTCTTCAAAATTCTTAGGTTCACAATCCGCAAAAAGACAGAAAAGGGTAAGATCATCTTGCCTTTCAGTTGCCTCATATAGATCTTCAATGCTTCGGAATCGAGGCGTTCTTTCACTTGAGCTTTCGTCCGATGATGATGGTGATAATGGATCTTGTGGCGTTGTGGGTTCTTCAATCTCATTCTCCGTTTGTTCTTCTATGTAGGGAAGGAATGTATAGTCTTCATTGCGAGTGACTCGTTATCATTACATCAGAGAGTGTATCGCAAAGAAGGAGGTGGAACTTCAATTTGTCAAGTCTCATGATCAGATTGCAGACATCTTTACGAAGCCATTGAAACGAGAAGATTTCGAAAGGATCAGGAGCGCGCTCGGAGTCACCAAAATCAAGTTTACGGGGGAGTGTTGAAATTAAACTTGATTAAAAAAAATCAATTAAATATTTTAGTATGGTTATGAAAATGTGATTAATATGAAAAGTGTGTGAAATGTGATTAATGTGTTAGTGTGTGAAAATGTGATGGAATTGTAGTTTGGTGAGGTAGTTAGAAATGTGTAGAATATGTGTGGAAGAAAATTAGGTAAAAATATGTTTAATAAGTGAGTTAGATATGTAGTTAGGTGGGAGATTGTAGTATAAATATGTGTGTTTGTATGAAGTTTGAAATCAAGGAAATTTGAAGAGAAAAACAAAGAGAAAGATTAAGAAAAAACATTCCTCTTCTTAAATCTTCAAATTATTTCTTCTTCCGAATATTTCCTAATCTCCTCCAAAAATCCTAAACACTAAATAATCCTCCTCCCTCATTCGAATAATCCTCCCCCTAATCCTACAATAATTTCCTTGTAAGGCTACTCCCTCTCCGCCTCTACAAACACCACCGATAAGGTTACTTCCTCCCCTAAGCCTCCATCACTCCGATATGGAAGGTTGTTTTTGGAGTGTAAGAGGCCTAAACCACCTGAATAAGCAGAGAGCTCTTAAATCATTGTTATCTAAACACTCTATCAGGTTTAGCCCTTCTGGAAACTCATGTCCAAGAGAGAAATCAACAACCTATCCTCACTTGGAAAGCGAGTGGAGAAGTCTAGCAAGCTACAGTGTAGTGGAAGGAGAAAGAATATGGATACTTACAAGACCTCCTTACTCAGCAATCCACGTCATTACTACCCTCAGAGTGCTACATGTTGGATTGAGAAATAGGGTCGAAGTTTTGCTCCAGTGGCTGCCATCAAGACTATTCAAGCATCTTATGGATTGAATAGAATCGGCTGGCAAGGAGATCCATGCATCCCTAAACGGTTCTTGTGGGATGGTTTGATGATGATTCCACTGCTCCGATCATCATTTCATTGTAAGATTTACCAATCGTCAACTTGAGAGCTTGTTTAAGTCCCGTGTTCGTAAATGCACAACACTTTGAAATGTATGTATGGTCGTACCGATAGGAACTTGTCTTCGAGTGGGTTAATCAGGAACATAGCCCCTATCATACAAAATCTGACCCAACTACAACAACTGTAAGTATCTCCACATCATACTAATGGCAAAATTGTTCTTCCTTAGGAGACTGATTGTATGAATCCGTGGTGACATTTTTGTTTTACTGATGTTAGGGACTTGTTGAACAACAGTTTGATTTGGGGAGTGCCTGAATTTCTAGCCGACATGAAGTCTTTGCTGGTCGTGTAAGCCACCCTAAAAAGAACCAACAAGTTTAAACATAAGATATATATTTTTTTTAATTCACTGATGCATAGTTTTGTGACTGACGTAAAAGAAACTTAAGTGGGAACAATCTTAGCGGATCAGTTCCTGAAGTCCTTCTCAACAGACAGAACAATGGACTGAAACTAATGTAAGATTCTCTAAAGTATTAGTTTCATTTGATGATGAAGATTATCCCGACTTCTCTGGTTATCGAATCATTATACACTCATTTTTCGACAGACCAAGGAAATCCAAATCTTCTTTGTCGGTCCGAGGTATAAATTACTAGTAAAAAATGCTTTCTCATTCATCAGCTGAAGGATACAAACAATTCAAAGCCGAGGTATAAATTACTAGTAATAGAAATATAATATATCTATGATGACCCTTCAATAATGGATCATGTGTTTTCGATGGCATGTTAGGTCGAACTTCTTCTTAGAGTTCATCATAAGAATTTGGTTAGCCTTATCGGATATTGCGATGATGGAGAAAACTTGGCTCTCATCTATGAATGCATGACCAATGGTGATCTGAAAGACCATTTGTCAGGTAAATATTTTTTCAAGGGTGACAAGATATATAACATATTTGCTTCAAAAATTTCTATGTTCACATTAATAAAGGTTGTTCTAATTTCATAGGAAAATGCGATGGCTCGGCATTGAGTTGGAGAACTTGACTTAAAATAGTTGTTGAGGCTGCGCAAGGTCCTTTCCAAGTTTATCAATTTATCAATCTCAGTCATTGTATTTTATACCTATGTTTCTCTGAGTTGATTGCAATCACCATCATGATAATCTAACCAAACCGTTATGATATTATATTCATTGAAATGATTTTTTTTGCATAGGATTGGAGTACTTGCATAACGGATGCAAACCACCTATGGTTCATAGACATAGAGATGTCAAAACTATGAATATATTGCTTAACGAGCACTTACAAGCAAAACTCGCCGATTTCGGACTCTCGAGAACTTTCCCGACCGAAGGCGAAACTCATGTGTCCACTATTGTGGTCGGAACTCCCTGATACCTTGATCCAGAGTAAGCAATACATATAACAAAAATGTTAAAAAAATATCCTTCTTTTTCGGTCTACTACAAAATACTAAAAGAGATGTATTTTTGTTTCAGATACTACCAAACAAACTGGCTAACTGAGAAGAGCGATATGTACAGTTTTGGTATTGTACTATTGGAAATCATCACGAATCGTCCTGTGATCGACCAGAGTCGCGAAAGACCTCACATAAACAGAATGGGTGGGTTAATGCTTACAAGAGGAGACATCAATAAAATTATGGATCCAAAACTCTACGGGGATTACGACACAAACTCGGTCTGGAAAGTGATTGAACTTGCAATGTCGTGTGTGAATCCCTCTTGGTCGAGAAGACCGAACATGTCTCAGGTTGTGATCGAACTAAACGAGTGTTTGGCGTCAGAAAACTCGAGGGTCGGGACAAGTCGAGACATGGACTCAAAGGGTTCCATTGAAGTGAGTATGAGCTTTGGTACTGAAGTGAACCCTAAGGCTCGTTAATTATCAATGCGAAGATTCAAGAATCACTCTTCTTTTCTTTTTTTTTTTGTTGTAAAGGTTTATCATTTGGTCTCTAAGCTATAAGAAGTACAAATTTGATTTTAAACGTTGGGGATAAGTGTGTATATGTCATTACCTTTTTTAAAAAAAAAATTGTTGTGAAGCTGACTCGCTTAGTAATTTTCATTTAGAAATCTTCCAATTTCCATGTTTCATATTGAACAACGGCTTTTTAGTATCCATATTTATATAAAAAAACCGTAACATGATTTCGATAGGGATGGATATTTTAGATATAACTTAGTTTATTTTACGGTTCAAGTTTTTTATTTTTACTAAAACTACAACATTTTGTTTTTATGTCTAGGGGTTTTGTATCGATTCAGGATTTATTTATTTAATCTTTTAATTAAAAATTTCTCAGGTTTTAAAGAAATTTTTTAGTTTCTGTTTTATTATTAGTTTTTATTGGGTTCCAAATCGATTCGATTTCCATTAATTAGGTTTTTATTTAAAAAAATCATATTTTTAGATTCATTTGGATTAAAATATAATTATGATTTATTTTTTTGTGTAGGTAAGCTAAATTGCTAACCTTATATTAGCTGTAAAAGGGCAAACTATATAAACTTTTCAATAGTGTTATGTAACCCCATGACATTCATAAACTTTCATCATCAAGTTGACCCTTCGACATAAATTTTTGGTTCTTCTGTGTAATTAATTTGGACATTCCATGGAAACTCGAGTTTCTTTAGATAATTCTTTTGCTAATATTGTTTCTAAACAAATTCAATGAAGTTAAACGATTTTCTTTTTGCTCTTTAACATGGTTCGGATTCTCCACGTATTTTATTACAACATTCCACGTCTTTGATTTCACATTTAAAATTAAAAAAAATGGCAAATCATGTATGACCATTTCACCAATTTATATAATCTCATAAATTATATACCAAATAATCAAACAAGTACAAGTCTATTTGATGATCGCTGCATTGCACGCACGTTGCCGCTCTTCATATTATTTATTCATCAACGATTATTATACAGAGTTCATTTTGATGAGTTTATGGACATAAAGCTGTTTATTGTTGATGATTGAAAATAAACACATGGCATGCCATCAGTCACTTGCCTTCTGCATTGAATGTGAGGACCAAATACTCAGTGTTGGGTTTGACTTGTTCCTTGGTCTGAAAGACAAGCAAGACTTTTGCTAGAACAACCTGTCTCATTTCTCTAACATTATTTGAAAAAAATAAATATGTTTGTCCAGTTTGCAGTGGGAATATATGTATTTCAATCAAAAATAATGTTTTGTTTAATGTTAATATACGTATATGTACACAATATTTGATCTCATTTTACGTCTCCCTGGAAAGCAAGAGAAAATGGAGAGTCGTCAGGGCGTTTTGTATGTATGGATTGGAGTATTTGCCTTTACATGTATTGTTCAAGCTCAAGATCAACAAGGTATATATATGCCCATGTTAACTGATATTACATTCTTTTATCAAATCAGAAATTTAAGCATCTCCTTTGTTTATGTAAAATGATCTCTCATCCTTGATCACATAGATGTATATATCTCTTCAATGTCTGTCTTAATAACAGGATTCATCAGTTTGGATTGCGGGTTGTCCCTGAATCTGTCTCCTTATGATGAACCATCAACGGGATTAACATATATATCGGATGAGAAATTCATCGAGAGCGGAAAAAGCGGTAGAATTCAGAAAGATTTGGAGGCAACCTTCTTCAAGCAGTACTACAATCTCAGATACTTTCCATATGGAAAACGAAACTGTTATAATCTGAACGTCATGCAGAATGGGAATTATCTTATCAGGACTACCTTTGTGTATGGAAATTACGATGGTCTTAACAATTACCCGAGTTTTGATCTGCATCTTGGCCCGAATATTTGGGCAACGGTTGATTTGAATGGAAAACCAAATGCTACAATCAAAGAGATCATCCACACTGCAAGATCAAAAACTTTGCAGGTATGTCTTGTTAAGACAGGAAGAACTACACCGATGATATCGACCTTAGAACTTCGACCGTTGAGAAATGACTCTTACACTTCTCAAAGTGGGTCCTTAAAGATGTTTTTTCGGATGTATTTTAGCAATGCAGGCCGCATGATACGGTAAGTAAATTCTATCTGATTGACTTTACTTTTCGATTTCGCCACCTTTGTCTTAGCTTAAACTAAAAGAAAAGGCAATAGGATCAGAAACAAGATCTATCGGTTCGTTTTGTCTAACGTAGGATTATTCTAGGTACCCTTCTGATGTCTATGATCGAAGATGGTTCCAATACTTCCAAAACGATTGGACGCAGTTAACTACCACACTTAATGTGAACACTTCAAAAACTGATATTGACTTACCACAAGGCATACTCATGACAGCCGCCACGCCCACGAATGCTTCTGCACCACTGTCCATTACATGGTCTTTAGATAATCCTACCGATCAATTATACTTCAACCTTTACTTTGCCGATATTCAAACTCTATTGACCAATGGCACGAGGGAATTCAACGTTAGTTGGAACGGACACTCTATTTATGGACCTTATAGTCCCCCAAAGTTGGAATTAGATTATATCTACTCAACATCACCTTTCACGTGCGAGGAAGGAGGTTGCATTCTCAACCTTGTGAGGACTCCGAGGTCAACTCTCCCGCCTCTACTTAACGCCATGGAGGCTTATGTTGTTGTTGAGTTTCCGCAGTTAGAAACGAATAAAGACGATGGTACATTGTTATATATTATTTTCCTATACAAATATAATTCATTATTTTGTATGTCGATGTTCTAATTTGTTGAACGTTTACTGCAGTGGATGCCATCAAGATTATTCAAGAAACTTATGGATTGAATAGAATCAGCTGGCAAGGAGATCCATGTGTTCCTAAACCGTTCTTGTGGGAAGGCTTGAACTGCAATATCTCGGACAATTTTACTGCTCCGAGTATCATTTCCTTGTAAGATTGTCCAATCACCGACTCCAGATCTTGTTTGAATCTTGTGTTTTCAAATGCACAATACTTTGACATGTACCTAATTATGATCTTCTGATAGGAACTTGTCTTCAAGCGGATTAACCGGGGAGATAGCTCATGTCCTGCAATATCTGATCCAACTAAAAGAACTGTGAGTAGCTTCATATAGCCAACTATAAAAAAAAATTTCTTACATAAGAGGCAAATTGGATGTATTTGTGGTGATATTTTTGTTTTCGCAATTTGCAAATGTCAGGGACTTGTCGAACAACGGTTTGACCGGAGAAGTGCCCGAATTTCTAGCAAACATGAAGTCCTTATTGGTCATGTAAGTCACTACAAAAGAGTCAAAATGTTTGTCTTTTGGAAATTTTTGGGGAACACAACATATTAATAAACGTAGTTGTAAAAATCTGAGATAAATATACGAATTTTAAAACTTTTGAAAAAAACACATAAATTTTACTTAACTTCTACATTAAAACTTAAACTTTTAAACAGTTTCCAGAAACTAACTACCATATCATGGTGGTATTTTGGAGCCATTCAAAAGTTTAGAATTTAATTCCATGACGGTTTTTAGGAAACATTTAAAAATTAATGATTTATTTTTATTATTTTAAAAATTCAGAATGTAATATAGAAGTTAGAAAGTGTTCCTGTATTTATTTGAAAATTTTAAAATTCGTATTTACCCAAATGTTTTTTTTTTAAATTCTCAGATGTTTAGTTTAATTTTTTGTATGGCTTAACAGAAACTTAAGTGGGAATAATCTTATTGGATCAGTTCCTCAAACCCTTCTGGACAGGCAGAACAATGGCCTGGAATTGAAGTAAGGTTAATTTTGGTGATCAAAATTATCCAACTTCTTTGTTTCATTAGTCAATATATTGGATAATTGCCACATGATTTCCGCAGACTCCAAGGAAATCCACATCTTCTTTGCCAGTCAGTCTCATGCGATGATGTCGGAGGTAAAGGAAAACATCATAAAAAGAATACCATCATACCAGTTGTCGCATCAGTTGCCTCGGCGACTGTTCTCATAACTGCATTGTGTCTCTTTTTTACTTTGAGGAAGAACAAGCCTTCAAGTGTGGAAGGTATTACCAATACACTCATCAATATTTGTACATTATATAATATAAAAAAACATTTATTTTTCAATTTTGACAAAAAAATAATTTTTTTTGGAAAAAAAACACTAAATTATTTAAATTGTCCAAAATAATTCTTGAAAAGTGTTATATGAAACCAATGGAACTGACGTGACATCGGAATAAATTTTTGCACGTCACGTTGACATTTCTGCAAGCCACATATGTTCGGTTCGTTTAATATGTCAGTTTTCGAATAGTTCAAATATTATCTTGGACAATTTAAATAGTTTTAATTTTTTTTCTAAAAAAATGTTTAGATTTTTTTGTCAAAATTAAAAAGTTAAATGTTTTTTTTTCCTATAATATATTATTTGAAATTGCAAAATATTGAACAAGTTAGATTTCTGCTACACAGTTCAAAGTCCTCTACCATCAATCGCTATGAAAAACAGAAGGTTTGCTTATTCAGAGGTTCAAGCTATGACAAACAACTTCGAGAGAATTCTAGGAAAAGGAGGATTTGGAATTGTCTACCACGGTTATGTGAATGACGCCGAAAAGGTGGCTGTTAAAATGCTTTCTCATTCATCAGCTCAAGGATACAAACAATTCAAAGCCGAGGTATAAATTACTAGTAACAGAAATATAATATATCTATGATGACCCTTCAATAATGGATCATGTGTTTTCGATGGCATGTTAGGTCGAACTTCTTCTTAGAGTTCACCATAAGAATTTGGTTAGCCTTGTCGGATATTGCGATGATGGAGACAACTTGGCTCTCATATATGAATGCATGGCCAATGGTGATCTGAAAGAGCATTTGTCAGGTAAATATTTTTTCAAGGGTGACAAGATATATAACATATTTGCTTCAAAAATTTATATGTTCAAATTAATAAAGGTTGTTCTAATTTCATAGGAAAATGCGATGGCTCGGCATTGAGTTGGGGAACTAGACTTAAAATAGTTGTTGAGGCTGCGCAAGGTCCTTTCCAAGTTTATCAATTTATCAATCTCAGTCATTGTATTTTATACCTATGTTTCTATGAGTTGATTGTAATCACCATCGTGATAATCTAACCAAACCGTTATGATAATATGTTCATTGAAATGATTTTTTTTGCATAGGATTGGAGTACTTGCATAACGGATGCAAACCACCTATGGTTCATAGAGATGTCAAAACTACGAATATATTGCTTAACGAACACTTACAAGCAAAACTCGCCGATTTCGGACTCTCGAGAACTTTCCCGACCGAAGGCGAAACTCATGTGTCCACTGTTGTGGTCGGAACTCCCGGTTACCTTGATCCAGAGTAAGTAATACATATAACAAAAATGTTAAAAAATATCCTTCTTTCTTGGTCTACTACAAAATACTAAAAGAGGTGTATTTTTGTTTCAGATACTACCGAACAAACTGGTTAACTGAGAAGAGCGATGTGTATAGTTTTGGTATTGTACTATTGGAAATCATCATGAATCGTCCTGTGATCGACCAGAGTCGCGAAAGACCTCACATAACAGAATGGGTGGGGTTAATGCTTACAAGAGGAGACATCAATAAAATTATGGATCCAAAACTATTCGGGGAATACGACACAAACTCGGTTTGGAAAGTGGTTGAGCTTGCAATGTCGTGTGTGAATCCCTCTTCGTCGAGAAGACCGAACATGTCTCAGGTTGTGATCGAACTAAACGAGTGTTTGGCGTCGGAAAACTCGAGGCTCGGGACAAGCCGAGACATGGACTCAAAGGGTTCCATTGAAGTGAGTATGAGCTTTGGTACTGAAGTGAACCCTAAGGCTCGCTAATTATCATTGCGAAGATTCAAGAATCTCTCTTCTGTTTTTTTGTTGTTGTAAAGGTTTATCATTTGGTCTCTCAGCTATAAGAAGTACGAATTTAATTTTAAGCGTTGCGGATAAGTGTGTATATGTCATTACCTTTTTTAAAACAAATTGTTGTGAAGCTGACTCGCTTAGTAATTTTCATTTAGTAATCTTCTAATTTCCATGTTTCATATTGAACAACGCCTTTTTAATATCCATATTTATACACAAAAAACCGTAACATGATTTCGATAGGGATGGATATTTTAGATATAACTTAGTTTATTTTCCGGTTCAAGTTTTTTATTTTTACTAAAACTACAACATTTTGTTTTTATGTCAGGGGATTTGCTCCCATGTTTTGCTTGTCAGGAAGTATGATCGGTAGTCATCAGGGGCGTATTTCCACATTGGTTGATCTTGTTCCTCGGTGCCCACCGGCGGTGGAATGGTGGAGAGCAAGGTGAGAAACTCTTGTTGCCGATCTGATCTTGCATTTGGCATAATCCAATTTCCACCTTGTACTGCACTTCGGACCTTGGCAAGGTTTGGTACTCGAAAGCTCCGGGGACCCGATTCACCAATATACTCGATCAATGGACCTAGAGATGTCCAAGGGTCATGCCAAAATAGGGTGTTTTCACTGTTTCCAAGATTAATCCTTAGGAACTGTTTCACTAGCTCCTTCAAGCCCAACAAAACCCCTTAGCCTTGAATATATTCACCTGTGTCCAAGCAACCCATAGGGAGCCTGATTTTGAAAACAAGATCCATTACATATCATCTGCGAAAGTTAGATGAGTAATAATAGGTGTATGACATTGCGGATGTACCTGAAAGCGACGTTCACTACCTCCTTTGTCCAGCATGCGGGTTAGTATTTCCATGGCTAAGATAAAGAGATAGGGGGAGATCGGGTCCCCTTGCCGAAGACCTCGCCTTCCCTTAAAGTAACATGCCAGCTCGCCGTTTACAACCACTGAGAGCTTCGAGGTACCCATACATGTAGATATCCTGCCCACAAATGATTTTGGCAGATGCAAGGCTTGCAGTATTCTTTTGATAAACTCCCAACTAACCAAATCAAATGCTTTTCTCATATCGAGTTTCAACATCACTCGTTTTGCTGCACTAGGCTTGTTGTATTCTCGCACTAGCTCGGTGGCCAGCAGGATGTTTTCTAACATCAACCTCCCATTGAGGAAAGCCCCTTGATTCGACGAGATTACATTCTGCAGGACTACCTTTAATTTCTTGGCCAAAAGGGTGGATATGAGTTTGTATATGGTGTTGCAACAACTAATAGGTCGGAAGTCCTTCAGTGCTACTGCCCCTGGCTTCTTAGGAACCAATACAATAATCGTGGCGTTTAATTGTCCCAACAATTTTCCAGTTTGAAAAAACTCTTGTACAACTGCTATTACCGAGTTCTCAATAGTTTCCTAAATAGAGACAAAGAACTCTTTTGGGAAACAATCCGACCCCGGAGCCTTGTTATTGGCCATCCTAAACAGACAATGTTTGATCTCATCCCTAGTCGGCACTGCATTTATAATAGCTGCAACATCTTCTAGGCAGGCAAAAGGGATGAGCTCCGTGAGGACCTCAACAGAGAGCGACTCAATGGACATGTCACGTTGACCAAGTAGGTTGGTGAAGTAGTCTACTGCATGCCGCTTGATTTCCACATTGGTTTGTAGTCGGTTTCCTGCTGCATCATCAAGTAAATGTGGTTTTTCGATGTTCTTCCCTTTACTACCTTGTGGAAGTATTTAGTATTCTTGTCTCCCATTGCTAGCCAATTGATCCTTGATTTCTGCCTATAAAAAGCTTCCTCTGCTGCTATAAGCATGACCCATTCAGACCTGAGATTATGCTCGTCAAATACACGTGCATGAGTAGGGTTAAAGAATAGTTCCTGCTGCGCTAGTTTCAGTTTTTGAGTCACAAGTTGCACCCTTTTTGACATTCAGATCACGGAGAGGGCCTTTCAAATCTCGGAGGCCCTTGCAGAGCTGAAACTACCTCGACCCTTCCCATCGCAAGCTCTCCCACTTTTCTCGAATGACCTTCGAGAAGTCTGGGTGTAAGCTGATGTGTTGAAAGCATTTAAACGGTCTTCGTACATTAGTTTTTGTCGACGGCAAGTGCAAGAGGATCGGTGAGTGATCTGATGGCCCAGGCACCACAAACTCAACAAAAGCATCCGGAGAGCAATCCTGCCAAGATTCATTACAGAATGCCCGATCCAACTTTACACCTAGTGGTTCTACACTACTCTTATTGCACCATGTGAAATAGAAACTTTGAAGGGAATTTCCAATATCTTCGAGTTGTTGACACAATCCACAAATTCCTCTATTCCTTGCCCCGCAACCATAATCCTTGGGTAGTCAGATCTTTCCATCAGGTGAAGAATCTGATTAAAATCGCCTAGGATGAGCCAAGGCGATGATTTTCAGTGGTTGGTAGACAGCCAACTTGTTAATCTCAGCCCAAAGTTGTCGTCTCTCTTGCAGGTGGTTTGACGCGTATACAAGTGTTGTCGTGAATGACGAGACTTGTCCGGGAACCCAACACCAAAGGTGATAGTATGCTTTGTGGAGTTATAGACTGTCACCGTCAGCGTCGGATCCCAGACAAGCCATATCCTTTTGGAAACATCATCTGCGTAATTGCAAAAAGCCCTCCAACCAGGCGGGATTGCAGCCTCAATTCTGCCCTTATTTACTTCCTGAATGTGTGTCTCAATCATCCTCCTATCCATAGCTTATTGTCCAAAATCCATTTCCTGACAAAAAACTGCTTTCGACGGTCATTCAGGCCCCTTATGTTCCACGCAAAAATTATGGGTTCCATACTAATCGTCTAGAATTGGCTCATGGCCTTTCGGCCATGATGCTTTGATTTTCCTTTGCCTGCTGAGGATGCAGTAGGTGGTGCAAGAATTTTACCCTGCTTCTTTGCAGTTGTAGCTGGGCTGTCCAAAATCTTACTTCGCTCGCTCGGTTCTGTCTGAATTCCTAATTTCTGCTCTTAGGCTCAATCACCGGTGGCTCTTGCTGCGTGTGGGTCGGCACAGGTTGTCCAACTAAGCTAGTTCCTCCATCTGGGATCAGAGATGTTTTGGGGCCTGCCTGAGATTCTATCATCTGCATTTCTGATGAGCTGGCCAACAGTACATCTGAAGATTGACTGGCCTTATTTTGGTTACTAGCCAGCGTATCCTTAGGCTGGACTGATTCAGATTCTGCTGGCCTCTTGGTATTAGGTTGAGGCTTCATAGCTAGAGCTCGCGGGTGCTGATGTTTCGGGCAGTGCTTGGCATTGTGCCCAACCGCACCACAAGAACTGCATTGGGGAGGCAACCAGTCGTAAGCAACGCTCACCCGATGTTCACTTCCATCCGGTAAGTTTATTGCTAACTGATTAGGCAGTGGGTATCTCAATAAGTTTTTTTCTTGTGTAACAAAACTAAAATGTGTAACCTTATATTAGCTCTAGAAAGGGCAAACTATATCTATCTTTTCAATAGTGTTATGTAATCCCGTGACATTCATAAAACTTTCATCATCAAGTTGACCTCGACATTAAATTTTTGGTTATTCTGTGTAATTAATTTGGGCATTCCATGGAAACTCGAGTTTCTTTCGATAATTATTTTCCTAATATTGTTTCTTCTTATTGAAACAAATTCAATGAAGTTAAACGATTTTCTGTTTGCTCTTCAACATGGTTTTTGGATTCTCTGCGTATCATAAAAAGATCTTTATTATATTACAACATTCCACGTCTTTGATTTCACATTTAAACTAAAAAAAAAGCAAATCATGTATGACCATTTCACTAATTTATATAATCTCATAAGTTATATGCCAAATAGCCAAACAAGTACAAGTCTATTCGATGATCGTTGCATTGCACGCACGTTGCCACTCTTCGTATTATTTATTCATCAATGATTATTAATTACACAGAGATCATTTTGATGAGTTTATGGACATAAAGCTGTTATTGATGATGATTGAAAACAAACACATGCCATGCCATCACCCACTTGCCCTCTGCATTGTTATATGAGAATGTGAGGACCAAATACTCAGTGTTGGGTTTGACTTATTCAATGGTCTGAGAGACAAGGAAGACTTTTGCAAGAACAACCTGTACTACGTGTATTCTTCTGGGAAACAACTTGTTTCAATATTTCTCTAACATTATTTAAAAGACATATATTGCAAGTGCCAAAGCTAATGTTTTGTATATGTACACGCATTTTATCTCATTGTTCATCTCCCTGGAGAGGAGGAGGAAATGGAGAGTCGCCGGGTGGTTTTGTATGTATTGATCGGAGTATTTGCCTTTGTATGTATTGTTCAAGCTCAAGATCAACAAGGTATATATATGCCCATGTTAATTGATATTACATAATTTTATGAAATCGCATCTCCTTTGTTTATGTAAGATTATCTTTCATCGTTGATCATATATATGTATATATCTCTCCAATATCTGTCTTAATAACAGGATTCATCAGTTTGGATTGCGGGTTGTCCCCGAGTCTGTCTCCTTATGATGAACCATCGACGGGATTAACATATATGACGGATGAGAATTTCGTCCAGAGCGGAAAAAGCGGTAGAATTGAGAAAGATTTGGAGGCAACCTTCTTCAAGCAGTACTATAATCTCAGATACTTTCCAGATGGAATACGAAACTGTTATAACCTGAATGTCACGCAGAATGGGAATTATCTTATCAGGGCTACCTTTGTGTATGGAAATTACGATGGTCTTAACAATTACCCGAGGTTCGATCTGCATCTCGGCCCGAATATTTGGGCAACGGTTGATTTGAATGGAAAACCAAATGGCACTTTCGAAGAGATCGTTCACACTGCAAGATCAAACACTTTGCAGGTATGTCTTGTTAAAACAGGAACAACTGCGCCGATGATATCAGCCTTAGAACTTCGACCGTCGATAAATGGCTCCTACACTACTCAAAGTGGCTCCCTAAAGATGTTTTTCCGAGTGTATTTCAGCAATGCAGGCGGCATGATACGGTAAGTAAAGTCTATGATCTAACTGACTTTACTTTTCGATTTCGCCACCTTAGTAATGGAACCCTTTGAAGAAAAGGCCATTGGATCGGAACATTGAAACAAGATCTATCGATTCTTTTGTCTAACACAATATTATTCCAGGTACCCTTCTGATATCCATGATCGTAGATGGTTCAAATACTTCCAAAACGATTGGACACAGTTAACCACCGCACTCAACGTGAACACTTCGAAAACCAGACTTGACTTACCACAAGGCATACTCACGACCCCCGCCACACCCACGAATGCCTCAGCACCATTGTCCATTACATGGCAATTGGACAATCCTACAGATCAATTATACTTCTACCTTTACTTTGCCGATATTCAAACTCTACTGGCCAATGACACGAGGGAATTCAATGTTACTTGGAACGGGGACACTGTTTATGGACCTTATAGTCCCCCAAAGCTGGCATTAGATTATATCTACTCAACATCACCTTTCACCTGCGACAAAGGAAGTTGCACTCTCAACCTTGTGAGGACTCCCAGATCAACTCTCCCGCCTCTACTTAACTCCATGGAGGCTTACGTTGTTGTTGAGTTTCCGCAGTTAGAAACGAATAAAGACGATGGTACATTGTTATATATACTTTATTTTCCTAGACAAATACAATTCATTGTTTTGTATGTCGCGCGATGTTCTCATTTGTTGAACATCTACTGCAGTGGCTGCCATCAACATCATTCAAACAACTTATGGATTGAATAGAATCAGTTGGCAAGGAGATCCATGCGTTCCTAAACTGTTCTTGTGGGAAGGTTTGACCTGCAGTACCTCGGACAATTTTACTGCTCCGAGTATCATTTCCTTGTAAGATTGTCCAATCACCGGCTCGACAACTTATTTGAATCTCTTGTTTTCGAATGCACAATACTTTGACATGTATTTACGATGGTGTCCTTAGGAACTTGTCTTCAAGTGGATTAACCGGGAGCATAGCCCCTGCCATACAAAATCTGACCCAGCTACAACAACTGTAAGTATCTCGGCACCAATTGTTCTTCCTTACTTTTAAGATACTCATTCATTTTCGTGTTTTTTTTTTTTTTTTTTTTTACTAATGTTAGGGACTTATCAAACAACAATTTGACTGGAGGGGTGCCCGAATTTCTGGCCAACATGAAGTCTTTGTTGATCATGTAAGTAACTCTAAAAGAACCAATAAAGCTTAAGCCTAAGAGATATGTTTCAAATTTTCTGATGATTAGTTTTGTGTCCGACATAACAGAAACTTAAGTGGGAACAATCTTAGTGGATCAGTTCCTGAATCCCTTCTCAACAGGCAGAACAATGGATTGAAATTAGAGTAAGATTTTTCGATGAGAATTTATCCAACTTCTCTGTTTAACTATCACTATATCGAATAATTAACACTTGCTTTCGACAGACTCCAAGGAAATCCGAATCTTCTCTGTCGTTCTATCTCATGTGGTAACGCAGTTAATGAAGGACATCACAAAAAGAATGTCATCGTACCAGTTGTCGCATCGGTTGCCTCTGTGGCCATCCTCATAGTCGCGCTGGCTCTCTTTTTTGTTTTGAAGAAGAAAAAGGCATCAAGTGTCGGCGGTACTAGCAATGCATTCATTAATATACAAACACTATAATATAATGAAACTAAAAAATCTTGCTATAACACCAACCTTTCGGCTAATACAGTCCAAAGTACTCTACCGAGTACGGGAACACCAGTTGCCAGATCACCTCAATCGTCTCAACCATCGATCGTAACTAAAAACAAAAGGTTTGCTTATTCGGAGGTTCAAGCTATGACAAACAACTTCCAGAGAATTCTTGGGAAAGGAGGTTTCGGGGTTGTGTACCACGGTTATGTGAACGGCACCGAGCAAGTGGCCGTCAAAATGCTTTCTCATTCATCATCTCAAGGGTACAAACAATTCAAAGCTGAGGTACATTTACCAAAATGTTCTTTTCATTTCATGAAATTATAATTTATAACCAAAAAAATATGAGATACTTATAATGATTCTTCAAAAATGGATTTCACGTTAGGTCGAACTTCTTATGAGAGTTCACCATAAGAATTTGGTTAGTCTTGTCGGATACTGCGACGACGGAGATAACTTGGCTCTCATCTATGAATACATGGCCAATGGTGACTTGAAAGAGCATCTATCAGGTAAACGTTTTTTTTTTTCAAAGGTGATAAGATATATAACATATTTTCTTCAAACATTTTCTATGTTCACATTTAAAATTTGTCCCTATTTCACAGGAAAACGAGATGCCTCGGCATTGAGTTGGGGAACTAGACTTAAAATAGTTGCTGAGGCTGCTCAAGGTTCGTGCCAAGATCGGTTCATAACATTTTTTTTATCTCTGAGTCTAACAAAACCTCTATGATGATCGGTCCATTGGAATGTATCTTATTACATAGGATTGGAGTATTTGCATAACGGATGCAAACCACCTATGGTTCACAGAGATGTTAAAACGACGAATATATTGCTTAACGAGCACTTACAAGCAAAACTCGCCGATTTCGGACTCTCTAGATCTTTTCCGACGGAAGGTGAAACTCATGTGTCCACTGTTGTGGCCGGAACTCCCGGATACCTTGATCCAGAGTAAGTAATACATAGCGTTCTCAACATAAAAATGATGTAGAATCATTTTTTTCTTTCTTCGTTCTACTATGATAGAGATAATATAAAAAAAACTAATAGAAATATACGAATTTTATTAGCGATAGACCATTTCGCTTACTAAGCGAATAACCAAACCGAATCCAAACATAAAATCGAAAGGTTATACTTTCTCTAAACCCGAAAAATCAAAACCAAACCGAATTGATTTAACAAATAAGTAAAAAACCGATAATTTCTTTAAAAAAAATGAGTTTTTTACAACAACAAAAAAACAAAATTTAAACCGAACCGAATCAAAAACTAACCAAACCGAAGTTTATATACAAACCGAATGATTATAGTTTTTCCATAATCGAACCCGAATATAATCAAACCGAGCCCAAACCGAAATCCGAAATGATCACCCCTAAATTTTATTACAAAAATCGAGATAAACATACAAACTTTAAATTTTTAAAAAAATATATGAATTTCTTACCTATTACTAGTTAAATCTATTAACTTTACAAGGATTTCCAAAAAAACTATACGGAATTTTATAAGGATCACAAAACTATACGTCAAGCATGAAACATCATCTATTACAGTATAGTTCTTTGGAAGTCAGTATAGTTCTTTGGAAGTCCTTGTATCATTTTAACACATGAGTAGAGAAAAATTGGTATATTTTCCTACAAGTTCTAATGTTTATGCATCAGTGGGGGAGCTTTTAGAACGATTGAGTTTCTATATAGCATTTTTTAATTATAATTGATTACCTATTAAATCGAATATTCTCCTAATAATTGTTAATTCTGGGTGTGTTGTTGACAGATACTACCGAACAAACTGGTTAACTGAGAAGAGTGATGTGTATAGTTTTGGGATTGTACTATTGGAAATCATCACAAACCGCCCTGTGATTGACCAGACTCGTGAGAGACCACACATAACGGAATGGGTGGGGCTAATGCTTACACGAGGAGACATCAATAAAATCATGGATCCAAAACTGTATGGAGATTATGACACAAACTCGATTTGGAGAGTGGTTGAGCTTGCAATGGCCTGCGTGAATCCTTCTTCATCAAACAGACCGAACATGTCTCAAGTTGTGATCGAACTGAACGAGTGTTTGGCGTCCGAGAACTCGAGGGTCGGGACAAGCCGAGATATGGACTCAAAGGGTTCGATTGAAGTGAGTATGAACTTTGGTACTGAAGTGATCCCAACGGCTCGCTAGTCCTCCACGTGAAGATTCAAGAATCTCTCCTTTATATATATATATATATATGTGTGTGTGTGAAATTTCAACTTTTGGTCTCTCATTTGTGAGATACGCTAATTTGGGTTCCATGCATTGTGGATATGTGTACACTGACTTATTTTTGCAAGCTTCCTTTAATAATATTTTTTTTGGTAATGGAGTATTATGGGACGACACTCATACCAGAGACAAAAACAAGACATTTGATTGGAATTACGTTCCTATCCCCAAATTGAACTTTCATTTTTCTTAATGAACACTGAGTTTCTCTTAGCTTTTTCTTTCAAAGAAGAAGGAGGAGGAGACCTCCTCACCATAATTCGGTTGGAGGAAGACATTTTGGATTTTAAATTTTGTTAACTTTAGATTTAAATTTTTCGATTTAGAAAATATTATACTTATTCTATTTCTATACCGACTTTGGGTTAGGCAATGATTATTTTCTAAACAAAATATTCATTTTAAGGTTTTGTTATTAATAATCCATTGCTTGAATTAATTTTATTTTTTCAATCTGTTAATTTTTCCTTTGATTTATGAAAAAATAATTTATAATCAACTTTTACATAATAAATATTATTTGATTAAATTTTTATTTTATAATTACTTTTACGTAAGCTTCTATCCTGTTAGAAGAATAATTCTATTACTATACCAACTTTTATATAAAAAATATCCTCACCTTGTTAGATAAATATATTTTGTATTTAAATTGTGTTATTTTTAGATTCAAAATTTTTGAATTTTTAAAACATCATATATTTTCTATTATGATACCAAGTTTAGGTTAAATTGTGATTATTTTTCAAATTAAATATTCAGTTTTAAAAATATTCATTTTTTATGTTTTGTTATTAAAAATCCATTATTTGAATTATTTTTATATTTCCAATCCTTTAATTTGATTTCTGTAATCAATTTTTTATAATAAATATTATTTAATTAGATTCAATTTTAATTTTATTTTATGTAAGATTCTATCCTGTCAGACGAATGATTATAATTCTTTCACAACAGAAGAAAATTCATGTGCTCTTATTATTCATGTCTCTATATATATAACAGATATATATTTTTTTTGGGTAAACTAAGAACAGAGCTGACATTGGTTGATTTGGCCAAAATAATGTATGAACTTAATATCGTGGTATAGTTGGTATTTATTCGGTTCAGTTAATCGCTTATATACAATTTGTATTATTCACATTATTATACGATGTTTGATTCGATTTGATTCGATTCGGTTTCGATTTTTATTAAGAACATTATTTTTTTAAGAAAATCGGGTTTTTTGGAATGTAACATTTTGTTGGTTTTGATTCATTTCTGATTTATTCATTTTTTAAAAACATAACCGTAAGAGATTGGTTCTTCGAACTCTCACCGAATCTCTCAGATCTCGCAAAAACAGAAAAGAAAAATGACACAGCGGATTAGGATTTCAGTACCGAGTTCTAACACTCGATACCTACGTCTCGGGAAGACAAATAGCGTTTGCTAGGGTTTACAAGAGAGAAAGCCGCCGGAGAACCGCCGGAAAGCAGTACCGACTCACGGAGAACGAAAATATCTCTGCCGAAAGAGAGAACCAAAAACCGAAAACGCATAACAAATTATAGAATGACAAAAAACCCTAATCTCATAATCTCCAGATTGGCATTTTACCAAAATGTTCCTCCGTGTTTTGGAATTCTGTAACCGAAACTGAAACTTCAAAACCTTCTATTTCGCCCAGAAACTTTGCTGAAGACTCAACAAAACTCCACCTTCTTCTGTAAAACCTGTAAAGAAAGGAAACATGAAGAAAAACAAAAAACACGTCAACCCTAGCAAACTCATTCCTGTAACTTCCATGTAACTCCCCCTCTGGGCATGATTCAAGGCGCATTGAACCTACCTTTCTAAATGAGTCCTTACCGAGCATGTCATAAACACGTCTCAAGTGACATGACGCACCTAGCCTACCCGAGCGAGTGTCCCCCGACAACTCCACTTTCGAAGACTACCTAAGACCTAGACTAGTATGAATCCCTAAACTGTCTAAATGATCTCCTCTGGTGAAGTCTAACCTCACCTATGTTCCCCCGAGGGTCTACCTCGACTGCTCCGAGACAAACTTTGAGTCATACTAGCGAACCTAACTCTTGATCCCCATAAAGATCAAGCGACCTATGACCTCTATCCCGGACTCCACTACCGACTAACGTGCCCCCACGGGGTTTACTCCATGAAGACTCCCCTAGTCGACCTATAGGAACTATACCGACGGCTCGGAACACGTGCACGCACGTGCTCCACCCCCAGAGGTAATGCCCCTAGCGCTACTACCCTCACCGACTCTATCCAGTGATCCGACATTCCCTAGCTCGCCTCTTCCCCTGATCTTCCTACCCGAGGTAACTCCACCTAGACGTGGAGACCTCACCTCCGAACCTCCACCGAGGAGTAGTCGGAGCATACTAAAAGTACCTTCGAATCATACTCCTGAACCGAGGCTACTACCCCTTTACCCTCGGTCTCCTCCTTCGCCTTCCGGGACCTACACTCCTTCTTATAATGTCCCTTCTTCCCACAATACCAGCATTCCACCTGGTCCTTGGCCTTCTTCTTTCCGCCACCTGATTTCTCGGGTTTGCCCTTGACCACTAATCCTTCCCCCGTACCCCGATTAAGGGTACCCTGAGCTAGAAGCTCACTACCAAAAAACACGCGATTTTCAACGGATTTTTTTCAATGGATTTATCCTTTGAAAATTTTTCAACGAAATTTCAACGAATTTCAACAGCATTTCAATGATAAAATCCGTTAAAATTTCGTTGATAATTTCAACGGATTGCCGTTGAAAATATCGTTGAAACATTTCAACGAAATTCCAACGGATTTCGGTTGAAAAATTCAATGAATTTTGGTTGAAAAAATCGGTTGCAATTTTCAACGGATATTGGTTGAAAAATTATATTTCAACGGAAATCCGTTGCAATTTTCAACGGATTTCGGTTGAAAAAATCGGTTGAAATTTTCAACGGAATTTCAACGGATATTGGTTGAAAATTGATATTTCAACGGAAATCCGTTAGAAGTTTCAACGGATTTCGGTTGAAAAAATCGGTTGAAATTTTTAACGGATATCGGTTGAAATTATTTACAAAATTTAGAAGAATTTTGGTTGAAAAAATCGGTTGAACATTTCAACAGATTTTGTTTGAAAAATCGATTAGATATATATATATATATAAACAATATTTTATGTATACGTATATATATTTAAACATGTATATATATAAATATGTATTTTATACTATAGTGATATGTTAGATACTGTGTATATTATATATATACGAATAAATATTTATACATATATTTACATATAAATATTTTTATGTGTATATATGTATAATTATCTATACGTATATATATATAAATGTTTATACTTGTATACACATATGTATAAGTGTATATATATATATATATATGTATAAGTGTATATATGTGTTTAAGTATTTATACATATTAACATTTGTATATGCATATGTATTAATGTTCTGTTATATCATAAATTTAACTTGGAGCAGTTGGAAGTGTGTTAATTAGAACTGTGCAGTTAAGCGTGCTCGTGCTGGAGTAGTGGAAGGATGGGTGACCTACTGGGAAGCGGATTTCGAGTTCCAATTTCAGAGTTTCCGCGGTCAAATTGGATACAGAGACAAAGTTCAGATTAAGTCGGATTTGGGTTAGAGGTCGAGGTCAAGTCAGAGTCGAGGCAGTATGAGTTCGGAATCGAGAATACATTTTAAAATTTTCGTGAAATTTTCAACGGATTTCGGTTGCAAAATCTGTTGAAATTATCAATGAATTTCGGTTGAAAATTCCGATGATATTATCAACGAATTTCGGTTGAAAAATATCAATGGATTTCGGTTGAAAATTCCGTTGAATTATTTCAACGGATAATTTCGTTGAAATTCCGTTGATATGTTCAACGGCTTTCAACGGAATAATTTTTTCAACGACGATATTGCAACGAAATTTATCTGTTGAAATTGTATAATTTCAACGGATTTTAGATCATTTTCAACGGATTTATTCGTTAAAATTGGTATGTTTTTTTGTAGTGGCTCTAATCCTTCATCCTAGCCGCCGCTTTCACCTCCTCGACGAAAATTGAGGCTCGGGAATACTTGAGGACTTCTCGAAACTGATCGTAGGCAGGAGGCAAGGAGTTAAGCAGTTAGACCGCTTGGTACTCCTCCTCTACCTTCACATTAAGGCTATGAAGGTCTAACAATAGCTTATGGAAAATGTCTAAATTTTCCTCTATCGTCCTCAAGGGATCCATCTTGTATCTCGAGATCCTCTCATGAGGTACATCCTATTTGGGAGAGATTGCTCTATGTGCAATCATTCTAGCTTTCTTCAGATTCCGAAGGCCGTCCTTTTGGATATGACCTTCCTTAGAACCTGATCCGCTAGACATAGCACTATGAGGTTCCTTACCCTTCTACTCCTTTCTTGTCTCTCTTTGAGAGCCAGAGTACCCGATCCCTTTGCCTCTGGTCCTAATAATCCGGTGGAAAGAGTTGTATGGTCTCCCGAATCCTCGGTTTCCTGAGCTGGAGTTTTTGGGCTCCCCTCACCAGCACTCTCCCGAGTGGTGTTGGTTTAGTGCTCTATGATATACTGTTGTATGAGCTTTATTATGATACATTTCATGTATTGACACTTACTATGGTTTTATGATTGAGTGTTTGATTCATTACATGTTTTGAATACTATAATATGTTATGAAATCCATGTATTGTTATGTACAATACTAAACTCCCTAGTCACATACCATTGTGGGAAAAATGATGTACTAAGACTAGTATGATGTGTGATAGATGATCATGTACGATCACAATCATAGGTATTCGTTGGAGAACAGAATACTGGATTGACCCCACCCTAGCATCGATGTCACCTCTCGATACTTGACGTGTCACCCTACTCCGGCATTGATGTCACCTCTCAATACCTGAGCTCACCAGACGTCGGCTACAACCGACGCCATCGACTATAACGGGAGAGCCAATCACTGCAACTCCCCCTCGCCGACCATCAGCCACAGAATTACTTGTCAAGTTTGAGC